AGGAAGGAAGGAAGGAAGGAAGGAAGGAAGGAAGGAAGGAAGGAAGGAAGGAAATAATGAGAGTGAGGGAAGTCCTGCCTTAGCACTTGGCCACCACAGGTACCCCCAATGAGTCGTGTGTCATGCCCCCCATGGCCACGCCCCCCATCCCTAGCCATGGCCCACGCCCGAGCCCTCCAAGGTCAAACACAACCCACATGTGGCCCTCCATGAAATCGAGGATGACACCACTCTCCTATTCTTTCAGGTCTCATCATTTCATAGGGACAGATAAATCTTAGAAATGGGGGTAGTGGAAGAAGGAGTTTCCCGAAAGCCCAAGTTGCCTTTTCCACTACAGGTAACCGTGATTTACGACCACAATTGAGCCCAACTCTTCTGTTGTTAAGTGAGACATTTGTTCACTGAGTTTTGCTCCATTTTATGACCTTTCTTGCCATAGCCGTTAAGTAAATCATTGCAGTTTGTTACCACAAGCTGTAACCCAGTTGTTAAGTGAATCTGACTTCCCCTTTGTCAGAAGATCGCAAAAGGGGATGGTGTGGACACTTACAACCGTCATAAATATGAGTCAGTTGCCCAGGGGCTGACTTTCGATCCTGTGATCATGGGGAGGAGGCTGCCGGTGGGTATAAATATGAAAAACGGTCCTAATTCACTTTTTCTCAGTGGCATTGTAGCTTTGTCACTGGAGTGATGCGGTGGCCTAGAGGCGGAGCTCTCACTTTATAAACAGGAGGCTGTGAGTTTGATTCCAGGTAGAGGCTGATATTTCTCTCTCTGGGCACAATGAGAATGCAGCTTCTGAACAAAACTCCTCAGTGGCAACAGGGAAAGGCATCCGGCCAGAAAACACTCAACTACATCCAGTTGCCCAGACTCCACCCCGCAAGCGATTATGGGGTCGTTAAATGAAGATGTTGTCCCTTTGCCACTAAATGAACTGTTGCAAGTCGAGGACCGCCTGAGTTTGTTCATATATCTTCTTCAAAGGGTACGATTAAAAAAAGAAAGAAAACGAGGATGCTCACCTGGACACAGAAGAGGATGGTCACAAAGAAGATGGACACTAAGAGGAGGAGGAAGAAGAGGAGGAACCAAGCGCTCCAGTGTAGCCAGTTACTGAGTCCCATCATGCGCATGTACTCCTAGGGGCACAAAATTCCACAGGGAATGAGACGCACTTGCTAAGCAACAGGGAGGAGCAAAAACCCATCATTTATATTCTCACCCACCCACTTCACGGTCTGTTTCTCCTGTTCCCCTCTGGGGGGAGGTTGTGATCGCAGGACTGCTAGACTCTGGAACAGTTTTGATCCTTAGGCTGGTAAACTCACAGGATTTTGCTTTTCGCTATGTATGTGTATACATTCATATATAACTTACTAGGCTGTGACATTTCTCTGTGTCATGTGTGTATGTGTATGTAGGTGGGTATATGCATAATGGTTATCTTTTGAGAGCTGAATGCAATGGAATTTTAATATATGCTGATTAGGGTACATTTAAAGGGGCAATAAAGTTTCTATCCTATCCTATCCTACCCTCCCCTCCGCCCTCCCCTCCCCTCTATTCATTCCATATTCTGTTTTCTGTTCTGTTCTACATTCTATTCTAATCTATTCTA